AGCAGAATGGTCTTAAGATCATGGTCGACGATGATGTCGTCCGTGAATTGCCCGATGGGCAGGACATGGTGGTCGAGATCTCCGAGACGTCCACCTTCGAGAGTGCGGCCGCAGCAGGCGCCGAAAGCGCCAAGAGCGTTGAAATCAAGTTGAGCTATTAATATGTCTTAAGTTGACGGAGACATTCAAGAGCCTCTCAAAATCTTCCGCTACGTAAAACCTCGTCTTTCATCTTCAATTTTCTTTTTTCCACCTCTGAATTGCATCAATGCCTTCTTGGGGTGGTCTTTTGACTTCATTTCCTTTTTCTCCCTTTTAAGGGCGCCTGGTGCGTGGTGAAAAGGTACATTGCATTCATCGTTGAGTGATATACTTTTGCCATTTTCTTTGGCTTCATCGGAGTTTGGGGGCTATCTTTTAACTCACTCGTCATTCATACTACCCTCCATGGTGGAGGGCGGGGGGGCGTTGTATCAGGGAATAATACACGAGTTCCCTAGCAATGATACCCAGGCATTTCCTGCATTTTGAATTGTTTTGTCGCGACTCTGTGCTATATGGTTTTCATGATATCCTAAGCATGTCATTTCTCCGTCAACGTCTTCTGGGTTTGTTTTTCATTTTGGGAATACACGACCTCGCATTTCATCTGGTTGAGATTGGTTGGCTTGCCATGTTTCGAAGATGTGGTTGAGGTATGAGGAACACGAATAGATACCCTGTCCATTTTTGTCGGAAGTATTTTATCTGTTTTAATCGTTGAACAATTCCTCTGTGTGCGATCTCCACTCTTGCTGTTTTCTGGAAGATGAAAACAGCTGTCTGATTGATTTTGACTTTGACGCCTTGACTTCGAGGGGTGTTCTACTCCTGGAATGATGGTTCTCTTATTATCATTATTATCATCTACCTGACTGTCCTTCCCTGTGTTTTCTTGACTTGCGTTCTCCTGTTTGCTAGACAGGGTATCATCATATATGCCAGAGAAAGAAAATAACGAAAATACTATACATGGGACCGAATGCTCGGAACGGACGGATGTCCACCGTCTTCTTTTCTGGGTGATTGCAGTTTGCAAACACCAAACAATTTAGGGCCATCGGGATCGAAGGCCCAAGAGGCCGATGGGAGGAATACCGGGCGTCCAGGCCAACGAACAGTCGGGAGATCAGAGGGGAATGGAGCGTCGGTTTAGATATTTTCTAATTTGGGTATAGATTGAATTACCGGAGGGGCCAGTCTACTGACATGGCGGGCGCCTCCTTTATCTTAGGGTAATATTACCGTGCATAGTGTAGTGTAGTGTAGTTGTAGTGTCCAGATTCTAGACTCCAGCAGTTCAGCGGTCTCCATCGGTAAAACCCTCCGTGATTACTTCTTAGTTTTTCGGCAACCTGCGACAGCGACAGCCCGATGACATCATAGCCCCATCCCCATTCCCCCTTCTCCCCCCCCGTGTGATGTGGGGCTCTTTTACCCTCTCCATCGGACCATCACCCGGTCGGTTCTGATAGCGTGTGAAACTGGGGACGTTTAACCTAAATCGTGAACCTCACGACAAAACCCCGATCAACCTTTCAAGTTTCAACTGTCTGCTATTCCGCAACGAGAGGCTGGGGATTTTGCCGGACGGCCACGCCGGGCAACTTTTTTGCTTTGTTTTTGTGTGTTGATCGGAATGTTCGGCCCCGGATGCCTACCAACGAGGAGTTGAGATCGAGAAATTTGTGGTTATATTCCATACTCCATACAAACCCGGCAAAGTCTTTTCTTTAAGAAAACTTGGAAACTGGCTGCAACCTTCTATTCTTTTATTTCTCGGAAGAGGGAATGTGGACCTGCACTTCTTTCCTCGCCCTTCCCCGCCGCCCACTATCGCTGTGCTCTTGATTCCGTTGTGCTGTTGTTGTTGTTGTTGTTGTGTCCGAATGGTTCGATGCGTTTCTTTCTGCCCTGGTTGGGGTCGTATACTTCGGGATCCGGGGGGTTCTCTCGGCTATTTACCGACGGTTGAGTTATAGACTCTCCTCACCCCTACTGTAAGTTAAGGTACTGTACTAGGTAAGTACGTGTTGGCGCTTGCTTTTCGGGACTCTGGGGGTTGTTTTCTATCTACCGGAGTACGTACGGAGTATAGTACAGCAAGACCGGGAGGGGACTTTGCCCAGGAGGGATCTTTTGGGGGTTGTCACGGTTTGGATTCTTACTTTTTTTTTGGTTGTGTGTTTCTGAGGATCGGGATCGGATCGGTGGGAGGGTGTTTTCGATTTGCTTGGTGAAGCTTGGGTATGGGTTATGCGGATTGCCCTGACCTGAACCTCCCGGGGAGGGAGGGGGTGAAGTTGGGGGTTGGGGAGCTAGTGACTTACTTGCTTGCTTGTCTACTTGCTTAATTGAGGGGAGGAGAGGGGATCAGAGGGAGGGAGGGAGGTTGATTGGTGAGTTTGGGCTAGGTTGTTGTGCTTTAGTCTCTCGTCTTCACACTCCCCCCTCTCTCGCTTTGTCTTGCTAGGGGGGGTTGTACGTGTGTGGCTTTGGGTATGTATGTATGTCTGTGTATGTCTGCGTATGTCTGTGTATGTACATCCAGCAAAGGACTCGATCTAGACTCATCCATGCTCCTGAAAGCACTCATAGCCCTAGGTGTACGCTGTACAGTACCTACTCCGGCCTCAGGTCACTCGACTAGTCGACTAACTTAGTGGCCGTTGGGGGGCCAAACTTAACCGAGAAGAAGAAGTATAAGAGATAAGGTACGGAGTACGGAGTACCGTAACCAAAAACCCATCGAAACACAGATCCGTCAATCGGAAGGCAGGATTTGAGGCTGTATACCGAGTTAAAACATGGGAAGTGTGGATCTCTCCAGCAGAAGTCAATCTTAGTTCCTCAGTATTATGATGGCCCAGAGTCAGCTGGACGGTAAGGCTGAAATTGAGGTTGAGGGGTGGGGAGGGAATCGAATGGAATCGAAGGTTTTTTTGATTTTTTTTTTCGGACAGTCATTGGGAATTTAAGAATACCTATCTTACGGGACTAGCTAGACGATCATCGGGGACATTTACTTTCAGTAAGTAGCCCTGCGGTTTCAATGCATGTCGTCCTCCTCGGTAGCTTGCCCAAGGGCTTTCCCTTTTTTTGCATGTTGAGTGGTCGAAAATGAGGTTCTAGACCGGCCCCCCGTCTGTAAACAATCGGTGGTTGATGGATGGGCTTCGGGTGCGGTGTGTACATACACACAAAAACAAACACTCGCGGAGCCACTAACTGGTTGATGCACTCTTTAGTCCCGAATCCGTCTTTGCTGGAGTGGAGAACTTTTTTGCGGTTTTAGTGCATGTCTCAAGGAGGGGACGCGGCGCGCTAGAGTTGTTGCGGTTTGCGGTTGCGGTTGTGTTTGCGTTTGCTGAAGTATCGCTTGGACTTCTTGGCTATCAATCAGTATCTACTCTACGGAGTACGGAGTACTCGTAAGATGATGTCTGGACTAGCAGGACTGTGGGACTGGGCTGGCTGGCCGGCTGGCTGGGTTACTCGCCAGTTGTTGGGGGAGACCACAGAAGAAAGGTCGGAGATCGGGGGAAGCTTCCCGACTTGATCGAGTCGATCCCAGAAGTTCATCCAGGATATGCTCGCGGGTACCGTATTTTATGCACCTTCCTGATCGAAGTTCGGTGGAGGAGGAGGATCGGTTCGAGATGACCCCGGTCCATAATGGATGTGTCTTAGCTGCTAGATCCTTGTAGATGTAGATTGTGTGGCTTTCTTCGCTTTGATTCCTGAGGACGGACGCCAAATGGGTTGGGGATGGGGGTTGGGATTAGCTATGCGACAACTGGACACTCTCACTGTGCCGAGGATGTCGGTGACGTCACCTCCAGGGCTGTTCTCCTTCTCCACCTCCCCTTCCCGTCCTCGGTACCATATTGGTCAGTGTTTTGATTTGGCTTTCGAAATCCCATAGTGTACCACACTTTGACGCGAATGTTGCTGGCACCGGTACCGGTACCGGTACCTTATGGATTTCCATTTTCCCGCTGGATCTGTTTCCATCATCCTGTCCCTCTTCCTGGGTTTCGAGAAGACAAATGGAACAACTTTTGCCGGGCTCAAGCGTGTATATGGATCGACGGATCGCTAAGAAGCGAATCCGACCCACTGCTTATCATCTGTTCCAGACTTTGAGCGCCGGCGGTTCAGTCCAGCTAGGTTTTCTTGTTTCTTTCGGGTGGCCCCCTCCCCCCTTCCTTTGGGGACGGACACGTACTGTATCCTAGGTAAGTACCGAGTCCCCGAGCCTCCATCCGGGAGTGCTGAGAGGACCAGACAAAGCCAAAAGAGAAAGGGCCTTTCCACCAATCGCTGCGCTCGGAAACGATAGTGCCGATCTCGTGGAGTAGCACACTTTTCCTACTCATGTACTGGTATGTGTGTAACTCGTAAACAAATGCATCGAGGGGTGTTGCTGTCTCGATTTGGGCATAGGTCTAGTTTCGGAATTCTGCGTTTGGAGGGCGCGTCTGGTTCGATGCGAGGGGATAGATGATCGTGTCTTTTTTTTTTTTTTTCCTTCTGTTTACGGGGTTGAAAATCTGGTTCGTGTGAGAGGTTTGAGGGGAAAGGGATCAGAGCGGACCGTGTTGGTTATACTGTACGAGTACTCTAGTTTTATCTTCGCGCAGGAAGCGGAAGTTCGTTTGGGGACTATTGGGACTAGGGTTACATGTATATGTACACACTACTGTCGATACAACGAGGAGGTCTCACATCCAGATGATAATGGTAGTAGTGCATTGGAATGGGAATGTGTTCCCTGAGCGAAATCCGGATTTTACTGCTATGTACAGTCGTACTCCTGTACAGGAAGAAAAGAATAGAAAAGGAAGGTACTCCGCAGATTGAATTCGCAAAAAAACCCAGAACCCAAAAAAAAAAAAAAATTCTGTTCGGTCTGACACGTCCCTCCTTCCCCCTCCCCCGATCTCTCTGTTGTCCGCTCCTCCTCCAAATTGTTTCTCACTTTCCTAAGTCCCGGGGTGGGAAAAGAGAAAAACAGATGGGAGCGGACGAGGGAAGGGGAAATTCCAGGCCCCCCCAAGAGGAGCGAGCGAGGCAGCTGGACCTGAAAGTGACGTCATAAACTCGGTAGGGGGGAGGAAATCTGGCCCTTTTGCACCTCGGAAATGTACGATGTCGTCATACTCGCTCTGCTAGTTCCTGTCAGGTTCCTTGGAAATCCGGACACAGTGCGCTGCAACCCACCGATTTTTTTCCCTCTGGGAGTGGGCTCGGTGGTGCTTGGGTCTCGGCGGCTGACTGAGAGAGAAAATTATTCCCCACTCCACATACGGATCGTGCCGATGTGTGAGGGATGCTTTTTTGTCTCCACTTGTGGTAATTTTGCTCCCAGTTTAGCGCCGTTTGGTCTGCAGGAAGGGGCGTATTGGCGGTATTCCAATTACATACCGTGCTTACGCCTTACGAACGCCGAACCGCTGGGCGGTGGGTATCGTTGGTATCAGCTCGTATTGTCTTGGCCGGGGGCGCCCAGTGGTGCTGGAATGAATGCCTGAGGGTTCGGGACGACTCCTCATGGAATGAGACATTGGAAATAAAGGCGTGAAGCAGTTTTGGCTGCCATGAGGCGTGTTGTATTGTGAGGCAAGATCGCGCTAAGTAGGGGTAGTGATCTTGGAGTAGGATCTACTCGGCAGTCGGAAGGAGTAATCGACAGGGGAACAGAAAATCAACTAGCCAACTAGTTCGTGGTGAACCGATCAGTCAGCCGGCGCCTATAGATTGTGTTGATTATTCTTTGCTAGGGCTGCACCTCATACATCCGAAGGGGGGAGGTTATCAATCTATCGGAAGCATCGGACACGAGGTGGTCGCTTGTCCGGGAACCACAGCGTCGGAACTCAGAGTAACTTTCTTGTCAGGTGGTGGTAACGTTCCTGGCGGGTTTGGCCTGCAGGTACCGGAGGGGGTAGGTCTCGTTAGGCTTTAAGGTTGATTTTAAACGTGCGTAAAGAGACGTCTGGGGGGAAGGGGGGCAGAGGAGACCGTTTTGCCACAGGAGATCGTGGACTGTCAGACTCTTCTGCTCGATCTCTGCTCGATCGTCCATTGATTGGTCGATCGGTCTTGGGGATAGTGACACCTGCAGCCGTGGGGACGGTAGCTTATCTGCAATAACCTCCGCAGCTAACGTTGCTGATCTATCGCGGAAGCGATTGGATATGTCGTCAAGAGGGAGATTTGTTGAGGAACAACGACGAACGATTCGAGGTCACTGGTCATAAGGGTAGGGGGTGAAGAGAGGAACGATGGTGCTGTATAAGAGTGGGTCGTTCCCGTTACTGCAAAGTTCTGTCACTCGGAATAGCTTCAAGCGTTGGGGTTGAGCTCCTGAAGGTGAGCATTTTGCTGTGTGGCGGCGGGTTGATGCATACCCTTTCTTCGGAAACCACCCGCCTTCAGAAAGGCTGACAGAACCATGAAATGTGGTTCTCGATCACTATTCTCTATCGTTCTTCTAGTGTTATTATCGATCGAGACGTATAGCACTCACATTCCTGGGGCCGGAACAAAGAAGGCAGATCGGTTGGACCTCAGGGTGATGGGAGCGGTGCCGACAATCGACCCCATGCATCCAGCCGCCAGAGCTGATACCCAGCCAGCTCGAGCAGCTGGACATTCTAGACCGATCCAGGCCTGCCGTTTCTTCGTGATACGAGATTAGCTTGAAACCTCGTTGCGAATCGACCAGCTATTCGCTAAGGAAAAGCTTTCCGGGAAGCATGAGACGCAGATGGCTGCATATTGTCATGTCATAGCTGTCATAAATAGTGGGGATTAGCGGCGACGGTAAGGAGGGGAAGGGAGGAAGGGTACGAAAAGGTACGAAACTGGTGGACAAGTTGACGAGTAATCGGGGAGAGGTGGTATTTTCTTGCCGATTGCTCCGAGGAGCTTGGCCTGAGCTACAGGGGGGCACGTTGGCAGAATAATCCGAGCAGAGGGCAAGACAAGATGAGACAGACTCACCAGCCACCGCTGACGTACTGTTGGGTACTGTTTGGTTCTTCTGTTCGGCAGTGCCTGGTGGTTCCCCCGGTGGTTCCTCGTATAGTGCCAGTGGCAGGGTTCTTTGACCAGTTTGAGCTTAGCTGCCGTGGAGCTCGGCTGCTGTTAAGCTTATTCTTTCCGATCAAATGGAGAATTACTGTACTGTACCCCTAGAATTAGAATAGAGGTATAACTTAGGTTTCATCCAGTGACTTGTATCACCGAGAAGTGAAGTATAAGTAAGCAGAGAGTACTTTTGACCTATCGTAGAGATCACCTGCATGTGCACTGACAATGCCTTTGACATCTGCAAGTGCTCATTCTATAATTATCTCTGGATTGCATGCATAATCGCTACCTGCTGGTAAATGCTTTAAATGCTGCAAGTACTGTTTCTCAGTGCAAAGCGCTGAATGCACTGTAGAGACCGCAGTCATCCCGTACATCTATACATTCTGATGCGGTTTCAGTCTTCTTGCGCTCTTCTCCAGCCAGAACCGACATTGGCTGCGTGTCTTGGAGTGAATGAAGGCATGTCTCTCACTGCTGACTGGCTATTGGCCGCCTCCCTCTCTTTGTGATACTCCCTGAGCAGAGGTGCTTGGTGCCCCTTTCCTAATTGGGATCACCACAATAACACCCACATGCACATTCACTGCGACACCTGACTTGCTGCTGTTGTTTATCTTCTCTCTTTCTCTCCTTCTTCGTTCTCTTCATCCTCCATCTCTTCTTTCCTCCCGCCCATCCCCCGTCCCATCACCTCTCACGCTCGCTACCTCCATCCACACTCGTTCCAGTCTATCTCAGCCTCCAGGCTTGAATCTTGATCACCTCGCTCGTTGACTTCATCCTTCTCTCGACCGTAAACTTCCCTTTTTATCAAAATGCTCGCCCCGTTCAAGTTCGCGGTCTTGTTGACCATCGGGTTCCTTGCGACCCTGACTCTGGCTTCCGGTAAGTGCCTTCTGACCACCTTTATCAACGGTTTTAGCTAACACTCTGCTAGAAACCTTCGGTGCCGTTGGAACAGTGCACGACGATGAGTCCTTCATTGCCATTCCTCTTGGTAAGTTATCAGTCACAGAAAGAAGCCTGAAGTCAGCTGTTCTGACTATTCTACCCCCGCAGCCATGCATGAGCACGATCCCCGCGACGGTATGTTTTCCTGACTCGTTCGTCCAAAGCCCTCAGCATAGATTCTAACTCCCTTCATTCTCATAGTGACCATCATCAAGACCATCTGTGAGACTTCGACCTCGGTGATCTCCACTACTGGTCCCGCGAACCCACCCGCGACGGGCACTCCTGCCAACCCCACTAGTCAGGCTTCGAGTCACTCGGAGACCCAGAGTGTTCCTCCCACTCATCCCACTACTGTGCCTGGTACTGTGGTGCAGCCTCCTGTGACTTCGAAGCCCGAGGGAGTTTCTCCTACCTCGGTGCCTGGCACTACTGGACAGACTTCGGCGCAGCCCCCCGTGACTTCCCAGACCGAGGCAGCTCCCAGCCCAACCTCAAACACCAAGGAGACTGGAAGTCTGCCCAGCACCACCTCTCACTCGGCTTCCCCTGTCTCGTCTAGTGTGCAGGACGTCACCCACTCTGCTACCACTCTGACCACCACCCACGGTACCTCCTCGGCCGCCAGTGGAACTCACACCACCGCGCCGCCTTCGAGCGAGGCTGCCGGTAATGGTGGCCTGCGTGCTGCTCTTCTGGCCTTCGCAGCAACTTTCGTTATCTTCTTGAGTATCTAAGGGGTCCTTTCGATGCTCTAGTGCTATTTCATCGGTGGCTCGTACGCTGGGGGACTCGGGCACGGACACCCCGTGTGACTGAGCCTGATTCCCCCTTGCTGTCGGACATCTGGTGCTTCTATTTTCTCTTTATTTGTCTCATGTCGGGACGCAAGGCGTAACGTTTGTCGCTCCCAGGATTATTTCTGCTGCCACTTGCTAGTTGAAGCGGTTGGTCGCCGCCTAATTTAATTTGAGAAAAAAGTCGTCAGACCTGGACGTTGCTCGCACAGTAATTCCTTGCTACCATGGGTATCTCCTAAATAATAAACATACATGGCCTAGGCGTGTCGTCTCTTAGAAACCGTACTGATCGGTTGACGTACTCGACCAATACCACCTCGATCATGGCTACCCCTCCGTTCAAGTAGCTGTATGGCGTTAGGAGGGTGCAGCTGTGAAGCTGCAGACAGTTGCTTGACGTCAGGATCGTTGTCTCAGTAGCCACTCGCCCCCACCTGAAGCCAATCCGATCCAAAGGGCAAACTCGAGTCGAGAAACCTCACCGACCCCTCATTCATGAGGGGTTTATCCCCAATGCACGAGACTAAGACAGCCTGCCTGCCTGCCTGCCTGCCTGCCTGCCTGCCTCTACGCCTACGCGTCCGAATCCCCAATGGCATCCAGCTCCTTGGCCAGCGTACATATGCGACAGCCCTCACCGACCCGGTCGCGCAGCAACCGCGCGGTCGTCACCTTGGGGCCGACCGTCCTCGAGGTCGCCGTCGAAATGTCCTCGAGGGTGATGGTGCGCGACGGCGAGAACGGCCGCGGCGTGTGCACGGCCGACCGGCTGTAGGGGGTGGTCGGACTACTGTTGTTCGTGGACGGCGAGGCGGTTTGGTGGATGTGCGAAAGGTGGAAGACGTGGCCGCAGGCGAAGCCCACGAGGATTTCTTTTTCTGTTTGACATGATGAGAAGTTAGCATTCTGCGTTGGTTTGTTTTTCCCTTCTTTTGTGTCTATTTCTTGGGAGGGGGGGGGGGTTGGTGGGTGAATGGGGAGGGAGGGTATGGTTGTTGGGAGCTTTTAGGTATAAGGTAGGTACAGGGGGTTGGGAGGGGGGGCATATACCATTAGCGCGGAAGGGGCGACTACACCCTGCGCAACGACCGGCTGGGGAGGCGGTAGAGGAAGATATGGAAGAAGCTGATGACTGTGTGGGTCCTGCTGCTGCGGCTGCTGCTGCTGTTGCTGGGATGGTGGTGTTGGTGGATTTTTCAGTGATGGTGTCGCTGGTGGCGGCCGCGGTGGTGGCAGCAGCAGCAGCAGAAACGGTGGTTCCTATGGTGCCGGCGGTGACGGGCCGCTTGGAGCCTTCCTCCTCGATGATGTTGAATTTGATGCCCCGGCGCTGGCCGCGGCGCAGGGTGTCCATGCCGACGGCGACCTCGCTCTGGAGGACCTTGGCGGCGCCCTGGCTGATGCTGGCCTGGAGGTCGTGCTCGCGGATCATGCGGGTGAGGCCGTCGCGAAGCCCCTCGATCTCGAGGCCGCTCGGGATGCGGCGGACGAGCTTGATGGGGTCGATGGCGGTGCCGGCCTCGACAAGGAGACCGTGGATGAAGCGCGGCTTGTCCATCGAGTAGTCGAGGAGGTCCTCCCAGAGGTCGGGCTCGTTCTGGGCCTTGGCGAACTGAATGGCCTGCGAGACGTCCTCGAGGTCGGCAAGGATGAGGTTCAGCGCGCGTTTCGTCTGGCCCGTCTTCGAGAGCAGGTAGATGAGCTCGAGTGTGAAGTGGCGCGTCTCGCAGATGTTGACCGCCAGGTCGAAGGCGTACGCCGTGCTGGTCTGCAGGAACTCCATGAGCAACGGCCGGTCGTAGTCGGCGAACAGCTCGACGGCCGTGTCCGCGAAGTTGTCTACGAGCGCCTTGCCTTCGTCCGCCGCGAGCTTGCTGGCGGCGTCGCGGATGTGGGCGAAATGGCCCCGCCGCGGTTTGGCGACGCCGTGGGGCAGGGATTCGCCGCGCCAGAGGGCTCGGAGGTAGAAGTAGAGGTAGAGAAGCCGGTTGGCGGCTTGGAGTTGCTCGACGACGAGATCTGGCCGCACGATGCCAGTGTATGCTTCGCTCACTAGTAGCTTGATCGGCTCTGCTGTGAGCTCCTCGAGCTCGGACGTGGGGGCCGACTTCAGCTGCTCTTTGGAGACTCGGATGAGGATGAACGCGGGAATGTCGTCCGTCAAGGTGTCGAGGAGACGGTGGTCCCGGATCAGAGCCATCGCCGTGTCGGCGTCTTGGAGGCGGATGTAGCAATGGAGCGCCTCGCCATAGTGGCCGCCCGCCAGGTACAACTTGGCCAGACACTTGGACAAGATCCGCCAGTCATCCGTCTCCGTGGTCAGTTCGCTGAGTTGCTCCTCCACCGCTGTCGCAACATTGTTCGCGTCGAAGAGGTCGAACGGCCACTCGTCGACCAGCTCGCTGAACTTGGGCCGGTTGTGCTCCACGTAATGACTGAGTATGGTCTCATAGAGGTTCGCAGATAACGGCGGGCGCATGTTCAGGGGCAGCACAGGGGAGATCTCATCCCACTTATCCTTTTCAACGAACTTCCAGGCCCAATGCTCCCATCGGTGTGTAGTGTCGAGCGCTTTCGTGCAAACCTCGGCGGCTTCAGGCCACTGGTCTTGCTCGACCAGCTGCTCGATCCACAGTTCTCCAATGCGACGCTTCTCTTGCTCTGCGGCGGATGCGGTCGTTCGAGCAGTTGTGGTGATGACAGAAGCTGCATCGTCGATGAACGATTCCCCAAAGCTTCCTTGGGATATCGAAGGCGTTCCGGGTATAGTGTCGTTCATCTCGCTCCCGGACCCGGCTGCTTCGGGATGTTCCTTGAGCAATGTCCATGCTTCCTCGTATTTCTCATGTGCGTCCAGCCAGGCCAATCGGTCCGCAAGATCTCTCTTCAACGCAACCACGCAATCATACGGGCTGTGCACCAGGATCTTGGGTCCAATGCTCCCTGCCATGTCCTGGATCTCTTTGGAAAGAGGCTCCTCCGCGGGTACTCGTCGTGAGGCAAAAATGCTCGGCGCCCTACTGGAGCCCTTGTCGCCACTGCTGGTCGTACTGCGAATACTAGCCCCAGAGTTGAAAAGCCGCACCGGATAGAATGTAGCATCCCAGAGACCGTTTCCTATAGTCTCTAGAGCTCCCCGCTGCGAAGCAGGTACGCTCGTTTTCCATGGGGGCAGGATACACATGTGGTAGTCTGAGGAAGTGAGGGTCTCAAAGCGACTCGTTGAAAGGCTATCGGCACTGAGCTCAGTCTCCGTTTCAAGATCAATGATTCGAAGCTCTGGCTCCAGGCCTCGAGGGCGACGACGCGTTCCAGTTTGACGACCACCATGCTTGCTGCGGTCGTCTTCGGATGACTCCTGTTCTGCTTCCATGTACGCAAGGACGACTAGAAGTTTTGGTGTAAACAAGGAGATCCCAGAGATGACACAGTCGGTCCGTAGAATTCTGGTTACCTCCACCGATCCAATTTTGTGATCTCTGTTATTCTTGCTTGGTCTATCAGGGTATACCTCAATGACCCAGACGGTACCGCCCCATCCCACGACCAGCTTTTCCACTTTCTCTGTGACGATTGTTGGATGGGTCGGTGCCGAGCTTTCAGTGTGAGTTACGCCTCCCTTGGTTTGCAGGCTGTCATCAAGGTCCAGGGAGTTTTCGTCCACCCACTCAGCGTGTGCTTTCCACACGCTGACCATTTCCTCCCAGCCGGGACGGTTGGGACGATCGATATGGCTGATGCGCTTCCAAGCGAACTCCGCGTCAGACGAATCGAGGTGCAGGTTTGATCGCATGATTTTGATGCCCTCCTCGTTGACCCACACAACATATTTACCCGACAAGGACCACTTGATCGTGCTAATGGCACCTTCGCCTCCGTGCAACACGGTGTCCTTCCCAGTGTTGGCCCCGAGGCCTATCGACCCAAGCCAGCTCGAGGCGGCGGCCGCAGCGCCGCCCATGGTCGTCGAGTTTGTGCTCACCCCGACTCGGCCCCCGACAGTCAGGATAAGATCACCCGCCCTGCCTCCCGACAAATATGTCCTATCACTCTTGTACTCCGGCGACAATGCGACGGCTTGAACGGGTCTCCCGAAGTTCCGCAAAAGGACGTCTTTCGAATCGAGCAAAGATGCAACGCAGACATTCCCGTCGATGGAGGATGTCGCGATGTAGATTGAGTTGGAAGGCGTCGAAGGGATGGCCGGTTGGTTCGTTCTTTGTCTGCCACGCAGGCTAGCGGCGCCGGAGGATAATTTGGAGGAGGCGTAATCTGGGTCATCTGCGAATCGGCCAAAATACTCGGGTCTCACGTTTGGTAAAGGAGGAGGGTAGGGCGAGATGGAGACTGAGGTGATACTCGCTGAGTGCGCGTGGTACACACGAAGAGAACGCAATTGAGGAACCGACAGTACATGCTGCGGAGCTTGTCAGTGTTCGCATGATCCCGACCCCGGACAACGACCAACTCACGATGTTTCCATTATGCGAGCCAATTACCTAGACGTTCACTTAGCATGTTTTCTTCTTGTCAGCTCCGGTGTACGATCTTACCATCTTGTCCCCAGCAGCTAGGAAGGCGCTTGTTGCATCTCCGTTGCGATACACCGCCCCGAGGTGCTTGGTCAGGTACGCATACTTGAGACGTGGTTCTTCGTCCTCGTCTTCATCCGAGTCGTCATCGTCATCGTCATCGTCGTCGTCTTCCTCATGGTAATCATCTCCAGCTTCGGTTTCGCTTTCTGTTCCTTCGTCGTTGTGACCGTGGTCCGTCTCGTCCAGCTCAGCAGGCTGGGAGCGGTGTTTCCTGTCCTCGGATGTGGTTCGGCTAAGGTGAGAGTCGGGAGGGTGACCGTCCTGGCGGACAGTCCCGGTTGCCTCTGTCGCGCCAGGCGCGTCCATGGCGAGAGCCTAATGCGGGAGCTGTAGCTCTGCTCT